ATTACCTATCAAACACAAGGCATGCTGCTTCAATCTAAATACTGTCATAACTGTTGATTTATGAACCTCTAATCGTTTGTATCATTTAGCACATAGTTTGCATGTTTCCAGCATAAACATACAAGCCCTGCAACACTGCTGGCCGGGCCTCATGGCGGTACAAACAGCAATGTATAGAGTGGAGTCCTGACATCCCGACATTCTGATGTCCAGAAGGCTATCTGTGTCCTATATGCGTTTATGTTGATGGTTGTTCACAAACTATACTGACGCACATAAGAAAGTACACACCTGGTGTTTTGGGACTATTCCCAATAAAACTATAAATATTTTGCTAGCAAGGTTGTAATTGGGTACAGTATCTGTGGTGTTTTGGAAACACTTGCACAATGTTTGTGACAAGGCAGAATCAAAACACTTTTTAGATATTAATGCTGTTTTCAAGAAAACGTTTTACCAAAGAATCAGGTGTGTACTTTGTTTTGAACAGTTGACTGAAGGGGTAGTTGATGGCCTAGATGGGTCTTGATGCAGTCATGACAGAGGTCTGGCTGAAGGGGTAGTTGATGGCCTGGATGGGTCTTGATGCAGTCATGACAGAGTTCTGGCTGAAGGGGTAGTTGATGGCCTGGATGGGTCTTGATGCAGTCATGACAGAGGTCTGGCTGAAGGGGTAGTTGATGGCCTAGATGAGGTCTTGATGCAGTCATGATGAGGTCTGGCTGAAGGGGTAGTTGGGCCTGTAGTTGATGGCCTAGTTGATGGCCTGGTCTTGATGCAGTCATGACAGAGGTCTGGCTGAAGGGGTAGTTGATGGCCTGGTTTGGTCTTGATGCAGTCATGACAGAGGTCTGGCTGAAGGGGTAGTTGATGGCCTGGTGGGTCTTGATGCAGTCATGACAGAGGTCTGGCTGAAGGGTAGTTGATGGCCTGATGTTTGGTCTTGATGCAGTCATGACAGAGGGTCTGGCTGGGGTAGTTGAAGGGTAGTTGATGGCCTGGTTTGGTCTTGGTGCAGTCATGACAGAGGTCTGGCTGAAGGGGTAGTTGATGGCCTGGTTTGGTCTTGATGCAGTCATGACAGAGGTCTGGCTGAAGGGGTAGTTGATGGCCTGGTTTGGTCTTGATGCAGTCATGACAGAGGTCTGGCTGAAGGGGTAGTTGATGGCCTGGTTTGGTCTTGATGCAGTCATGACAGAGGTCTGGCTGAAGGGTAGTTGATGGCCTGGTTTGGTCTTGATGCAGTCATGACAGAGGTCTGGCTGAAGGGGTAGTTGATGGCCTGGTTTGGGTCTTGATGCAGTCATGACAGAGGTCTGGCTGAAGGGGTAGTTGATGGCCTGGTTTGGTCTTGATGCAGTCATGACAGAGGTCTGGCTGAAGGGGTAGTTGATGGCCTGGTTTGGTCTTGATGCAGTCATGACAGAGGTCTGGCTGAAGGGTAGTTGATGGCCTGGTTTGGTCTTGATGCAGTCATGACAGAGGTCTGATGCTGAAGGGGTAGAGGTCTGGCTGATTGATGGCCTAGATGGGTCTTGATGCAGTCATGACAGAGGTCTGGCTGAAGGGGTAGTTGATGGCCTGGATGGGTCTTGATGCAGTCATGACAGAGGTCTGGCTGAAGGGGTAGTTGATGGCCTGGTTTGGTCTTGATGCAGTCATGACAGAGGTCTGGCTGAAGGGGTAGTTGATGGCCTGGTTTGGTCTTGATGCAGTCATGACAGAGGAGGTCTGGCTGAAGGGGTAGTTGATGGCCTGGTTTGGTCTTGATGCAGTCATGACAGAGGTCTGGCTGAAGGGGTAGTTGATGGCCTGGTTTGGTCTTGATGCAGTCATGACAGAGGTCTGGCTGAAGGGGTAGTTGATGGCCTGGTTTGGTCTTGATGCAGTCATGATAGAGGTCTGGCTGAAGGGGTAGTTGATGGCCTGGTTTGGTCTTGATGCAGTCATGACAGAGGTCTGGCTGAAGGGGTAGTTGATGGCCTGGATGGGTCTTGATGCAGTCATGACAGAGGTCTGGCTGAAGGGGTAGTTGATGGCCTAGATGGGTCTTGATGCAGTATGACAGACAGAGGTCTGGCTGAAGGGGTAGTTGATGGCCTGGTTTGGTCTTGATGCAGTCATGACAGAGGTCTGGCTGAAGGGGTAGTTGATGGCCTGGTTTGGTCTTGATGCAGTCATGACAGAGGTCTGGCTGAAGGGGTAGTTGATGGCCTGGATGGGTCTTGATGCAGTCATGACAGAGGTCTGGCTGAAGGGGTAGTTGATGGCCTGGATGGGTCTTGATGCAGTCATGACAGAGGTCTGGCTGAAGGGGTAGTTGATGGCCTGGTTTGGTCTTGATGCAGTCATGACAGAGGTCTGGCTGAAGGGGTAGTTGATGGCCTGGTTTGGTCTTGATGCAGTCATGACAGAGGTCTGGCTGAAGGGGTAGTTGATGGCCTGGTTTGGTCTTGATGCAGTCATGACAGAGGTCTGGCTGAAGGGGTAGTTGATGGCCTGGTTTGGTCTTGATGCAGTCATGACAGAGGTCTGGCTGAAGGGGTAGTTGATGGCCTGGATGGGTCTTGATGCAGTCATGACAGAGGTCTGGCTGAAGGGGTAGTTGATGGCCTGGTTTGGTCTTGATGCGGTAATGATAGAGGTCTGGCTGAAGGGGTAGTTGATGGCCTGGTTTGGTCTTGATGCAGTCATGACAGAGGTCTGGCTGAAGGGGTAGTTGATGGCCTGGTTTGGTCTTGATGCAGTCATGACAGAGGTCTGGCTGAAGGGGTAGTTGATGGCCTGGATGGGTCTTGATGCAGTCATGACAGAGGAGGTCTGGCTGAAGGGGGCTAGTTGATGGCCTGGTTTGGTCTTGATGCAGTCATGACAGAGGTCTGGCTGAAGGGGTAGTTGATGGCCTGGTTTGGTCTTGATGCAGTCATGACAGAGGTCTGGCTGAAGGGGTAGTTGATGGCCTGGATGGGTCTTGATGCAGTCATGACAGAGGTCTCCTGAAGCTGAAGGGGTAGTTGATGGCCTGGTTTGGTCTTAATGATAGAGGTCTGGCTGAAGGGGTAGTTGATGGCCTGGTTCTGGCTGAAGTCTTGATGGCCTGCAGTCATGACAGAGGTCTGGCTGAAGGGTAGTTGATGGCCTGGTTTGGTCTTGATGCAGTCATGACAGAGGTCTGGCTGAAGGGGTAGTTGATGGCCTGGTTTGGTCTTGATGCAGTCATGACAGAGGTCTGGCTGAAGGGGTAGTTGATGGCCTGGTTGGGTCTTGATGCAGTCATGACAGAGGTCTGGCTGAAGGGGTAGTTGATGGCCTGGTTTGGTCTTGGCAGTGGCATGCAGTCATGACAGAGGTCTGGCTGAAGGGGTAGTTGATGGCCTGGTTGAAGGTCTTGATGGCAGGTTTGGTCTGACATGACAGAGGTCTGGCTGAAGGGGTAGTTGATGGCCTGGATGGGTCTTGAGTCTTGATGCAGTCATGACAGAGGTCTCGATGCTTGAGGTCTGGCTGAAGGGGTAGTTGATGGCCTGGTTTGGTCTTGATGCAGTCATGACAGAGGTCTGGCTGAAGGGGTAGTTGATGGCCTGGTTTGGTCTTGATGCAGTCATGACAGAGGTCTGGCTGAAGGGGTAGTTGATGGCCTGGTTTGGTCTTGATGCAGTCATGACAGAGGTCTGGCTGAAGGGGTAGTTGATGGCCTGGTTTGGTCTTGATGCAGTCATGACAGAGGTCTGGCTGAAGGGGTAGTTGATGGCCTGGTTTGGTCTTGATGCAGTCATGACAGAGGTCTGGCTGAAGGGGTAGTTGATGGCCTGGTTTGGTCTTGATGCAGTCATGACAGAGGTCTGGCTGAAGGGGTAGTTGATGGCCTGGATGGGTCTTGATGCAGTCATGACAGAGGTCTGGCTGAAGGGGTAGTTGATGGCCTGGTTTGGTCTTGATGCAGCCATGACAGAGGTCTCTGGCTGAAGGGGTAGTTGATGGCCTGGTTTGGTCTTGATGCAGTCATGACAGAGGTCTGGCTGAAGGGGTAGTTGATGGCCTGGTGGGTCTTGATGCAGTTCTGGCGACAGAGGTTGGCTGAAGGTAGCTGGGTCTTGATGCAGTCATGACAGAGGTCTGGCTGAAGGGGTAGTTGATGGCCTGGTTTGGTCTTGATGCAGTCATGACAGAGGTCTGGCTGAAGGGGTAGTTGATGGCCTGGTTTGGTCTTGATGCAGTCATGACAGAGGTCTGGCTGAAGGGGTAGTTGATGGCCTGGATGGGTCTTGATGCAGTCATGACAGAGGTCTGGCTGAAGGGGTAGTTGATGGCCTGGTTTGGTCTTGGTGCAGTCATGACAGAGGTCTGGCTGAAGGGGTAGTTGATGGCCTGGTTTGGTCTTGATGCAGTCATGACAGAGGTCTGGCTGAAGGGGTAGTTGATGGCCTGGATGGGTCTTGGTGCAGTCATGACAGAGGTCTGGCTGAAGGGGTAGTTGATGGCCTGGATGGGTCTTGATGCAGTCATGACAGAGGTCTGGCTGAAGGGGTAGTTGATGGCCTAGATGGGTCTTGATGCAGTCATGACAGAGAGTTCTGGCTGAAGGGTAGTTGATGGCCTAGGATGGGTCTTGATGCAGTCATGACAGAGGTCTGGCTGAAGGGGTAGTTGATGGCCTAGATGGGTCTTGATGCAGTCATGACAGAGTTCTGGCTGAAGGGGTAGTTGATGGCCTAGATGGGTCTTGATGCAGTCATGACAGAGTTCTGGCTGAAGGGGTAGTTGATGGCCTAGATGGGTCTTGGTGCAGTCATGACAGAGTTCTGGCTGAAGGGGTAGTTGATGGCCTAGATGGGTCTTGGTGCAGTCATGACAGAGTTCTGGCTGAAGGGGTAGTTGATGGCCTAGATGGGTCTTGGTGCAGTCATGACAGAGTTCTGGCTGAAGGGTAGTTGATGGCCTAGATGGGTCTTGGTGCAGTCATGACAGAGTTCTGGCTGAAGGGGTAGTTGATGGCCTAGATGGGTCTTGGTGCAGTCATGACAGAGTTCTGGCTGAAGGGTAGTTGATGGCCTAGATGGGTCTTGGTGCAGTCATGACAGAGTTCTGGCTGAAGGGGTAGTTGATGGCCTAGATGGGTCTTGGTGCAGTCATGACAGAGTTCTGGCTGAAGGGGTAGTTGATGGCCTAGATGGGTCTTGATGCAGTCATGACAGAGTTCTGGCTGAAGGGGTAGTTGATGGCCTAGATGGGTCTTGGTGCAGCCGCAGTCATGACAGAGTTCTGGCTGAAGGGGTAGTTGATGGCCTAGATGGGTCTTGGTGCAGTCATGACAGAGTTCTGGCTGAAGGGGTAGTTGATGGCCTAGATGGGTCTTGATGCAGTCATGACAGAGTTCTGGCTGAAGGGGTAGTTGATGGCCTAGATGGGTCTTGATGCAGTCATGACAGTCATGACAGAGTTCTGGCTGAAGGGAGTAGTTGATGGCCTAGATGGGTCTTGGTGCAGTCATGACAGAGTTCTGGCTGAAGGGGTAGTTGATGGCCTAGATGGGTCTTGATGCAGTCATGACAGAGTTCTGGCTGAAGGGGTAGTTGATGGCCTAGATGGGTCTTGGTGCAGTCATGACAGAGTTCTGGCTGAAGGGGTAGTTGATGGCCTAGATGGGTCTTGATGCAGTCATGACAGAGGTCTGGCTGAAGGGGTAGTTAATGGCCTGTGTAATGATAAGAGACTTGCACACAGTCTACATGTATACTGAGCCAGGCGAGCCGGACCCGCCCCCTACCCGGATGTGACTGCCTCGCGCGTGCTTCTCGCGAACAGTGTCACCTTGTACACATCGCATTCAGTGTCTCAATTAAACTTGTGCTGTTCAGTCGTCTATTGTTGGTTCTCGTCCTAGCGTCACATTGTTACAGCCTGGATGGGTCTTGATGCGGTAATGACATTTATCTTTATTTGGTTGTATTGCCTGTTGTCTCCATACAAATCAGTGATTATGTTCAACTTGGTTTTCCTGAATCTAGGACCATTCCAAACAGTAATAGGTCTTCTTTAGAGCTTTACATCAGTTCATGTCAAATGCACTTCAGACCACGACAGAGATTAATCAGTCAACATTAAACGTTATGTCAGCTCATCTCAAATGTATATTAAATCCCGTCAAACATACATCAAACTGTAATCCTGCAACATATGTTATATTTGGGATTACACTTTCCCAGATACTAAGTTACTTTTGTTAGGGTGATTCCCATCCAGGATTCGAACTCACACTCTCAGAGCAAGACACCTAATCGCCAGCAAACAAAGTCAGCGATTTAACCCATTCAGCCTCTACCTCAGAAATGGAAGCAGGAACTGATAGTCTAGATCACGCACTTTGTCTACCCCTATGACAAGTGTTTGTTTGCATCAAACTTTTTAATCTCCACCATGCAATAGTCAGTGCCCGTCAAAGATTTACATGATGTCCAACGATAACTGATAAATGGCGCTATGGTATCATTACCTAAGTAAGGTACACCTGAGCGTTTCCACTGCACTAGTGTTTTTATCATGTTATTGTAAAAGAAAACACTTCTAGATATGGAAACCGACCACCCTCAGTACTTGTTAAGTAGCTTTCACAGCTACTTAAACACGATCGTATTTAGCTCATGAGAACAATTTAAAAGATGCTGGCCTTGACTTCTGCACCAGCTACACAACACGGCGTGTTTTGAATGACAACCTCCATTGTGTGTTTGATTAGACCAATATTATGTAACATAACGTTACGTGGAGGCTTGCAGGTATCACTGAGTCCACGTTACAGGACCCGGTTCAGAACGGTTGTTTGTTGCATGACATAACTAAAGCCTATTAAGCGTTGTCAGGCTAAGCGTTGCCAGTGTATGAAAAAGGGCGGCGCCGCTTGCATTATGCATGCTCAAGTACTTTTTAAATTTTTAAACAGTTTACATTACATTCGATACCTTTGTTGGTCGATTTCATTATACTAAGTTACTCTGACTTATCTCGGTATATTAAGTCCTTTAAGACGCCGTGACTAGCCGTGCAAACATAGCGTCCGTTAGGTGTGTCAGGATCCGGTGACGGTTGGTTCAAATCTTTTATTTGCCCTGATTGTGATCTCATTTAGTTGCCAGGGATTTTTCTACAATATGACAAATCAGGAGCTATGGACGTTTCTTTACACACTATAGTCACTGGCTAACCAGGGATTATTTTCCCCCAGAAGCGATGAGAAATGAGATATACCTGATTGAGAGATTACCGATGTGACGTCACATTTCACCCGTTTTTTCGCTGGTGTTGTCCCTCACTCACTCACGCACACACTTTCACCCCACTTTCAGCTCGATATACTGCTTCCTAAATATATTTCTGATAAAACTGATATTTCACGCACATTTAACAGTCATTATTATACAGATGCGACACACTGTATTCCAAACTAGCAAAACAATATTACTACAATGTGCTTCAATCAACATTATGTGTATGATGTATTTCTTTTTATCAGTGTCTCGTATACACAGATACAACATGCACGACTCTCATGTCAACGATTCTCCAACACGATGCAATGTTATGACTTCCCACTTCCTACACCGAGGATAGGTAGACATTCGAAACTGAAAACACTCACTAACCCATATATTGAATGTGTGGTGAGGTTGTGTGGTGGGCAAGGATCAGGGCGAGAGGCAGGGGGAGGAGCAGGACGAGGAACAGGGCGAGGAGCAGGGCGACGAGCAGGACGAGGAGCAAGACGAGAAGCGGGACGAGGAGAGGGGCGAGAACCAGGACGAGGAGCGGGACGAGGAGCGGGGCGAGGAGCAAGGCGAGGAGCAGAACGAGGAGCAGGACGACGAGCGGGACGAGGAACAGGGCGAAGAGCAGGGCGAGGAGCAGGACGAGGAGCCGGTCAGTGGGTATTCTACCAGAGGCTTCTGGCTCTGAAAAAAAATCAATTTGATCCAATAATGGTTTAAAAAGTATTGAAAAGTAAAGAAGAATGCTGCAATTAAATTGCACTTCACCATGATTGGAAGAGGTTGTTGAACGTATAACGACGGAAACTCTCCACTAATTGTATGGGAGATGGATTTGGTGATATCACACCTAGGACGAACCCATATTCAGGAATCACCCATAGCATCCTTCAATCAACTAATACTTTTGTGTGTGTGCTACTTAGTATTCACTGAACATTAAGTGGGCACCTCTCGAGAAGAGTAAGCAATTCTTGCAAAGCGTATTTTGTAACTGCCTTATTTGTAACCATTTCTACGTGACTATTCTTACCTCATTCCTCTCATTGTGACCAAGAACTATGAAGACACCGTCGGCTAACGAAAAGCACAAATTCCAGGTTATATGATGTCCCTAAACTTGAAACTGCTCTCACACGAATTCTATGGGGTTTCCCCACTAAATGAACTTCCGCACATACTTTTGATATTGCCCATATAATAGTGAGTGAGTGTGTGAGTTGGATTTTACGCCACTTTTATCAATATTCCAGCAATATCACGGCGGGGGAAATGGGTTTCGCATAATGTACCCATGTGGGGATATGAAACCGGATCTTCGGCGTGACAAGCGAACGCTTTAACCACGAGGCTACCCCACAGCCCCTTGTGTACATATAATATGTATAAATGCCTACTGTCAATGACTGGAAAAGAGTCCTTCTCTGTTAATACTGCCCACCGTATCATCGATTGCACCAATCAGAGGTGGTAATTTGAATCTATGCTTCTGAATGATTGGCATCTGAATCGGCTATTTCCTAAATCAATGGTGAGAATATTGCATATAAACTGAAAAGAATTTGAAGAATAATGATTTAAATCTCATGTTCGAGTCGACATGAAATGTTTGGACTACAAATTTAATATGAAAAGACACCCCGGAGAGTTTAACGTTGAAGAACACTGGATCATCGAGAGAAGCTTTATGATCCTATAGACATAACACATCGCAACACCAATGCAGCTCTGCAGTTACAAAGGAAGACGCCAGGCGCCACTTAAAATGGTTAGGTTTTATACAGCCATAAAAGTACAATAGACATTCCTCATACAGCCAGCTCATTCTCTTTCAAGTACGTTGGCAGACAGATATTGTCGTAAAACGGCAGACAGTTATTGTTGTAAAACCAGGTTTTGTCCATTGGGATTTTGTTTGCTCGGAACTTTGGAGTGTTGTGTTTGCATGATCATAGCTTTCAAGAAGCCTTGATACTGTAAAGGCCAGTTGTACACCAAAGCACAAATCAAGCAGTGCGTGAAAGAACATTTGTTCACGTATGAATATGGGGTGGCCTTGGTTGCCTACTGTGAACCGCTGGGGTTATGGTGACCTGGGTAGGGTGAATCACTTTGGTCATGGTGACTTGGGATGTATGAAACCCTGGGGTCGTGCACGTGGTGACCTGGGTAGTGAGGACCCTTGGGGTCGTGGTGACCTGGGTAGTGAGAACCCCTGGGGTCGTGGTGACCTGGGTAGTGTGAACCCCTGGAGTCATGGTGACCTGGGTTATGCTGGTCCCAGAGCCAGTTGGACGATCCCTGGAGATACATATGCTGGTCCCAGAGCCAGTTGGACGATCCCTGGAGATACATATGCTGGTCCCAGAGCCAGTTGGACGATCCCTGGAGATACATATGCTGGTCCCAGAGCCAGTTGGACGATCCCTGGGGATACATATGCTGGTCCCAGAGCCAGTCGGGCGATCCCGGAGATATATATATGCTGGTCCCAGAGCCAGTCGGACGATCCCTGAGAATATATATGCTGGTCCCAGAGCCAGGCGGACGATCCCTGGGGATATATATGATGGTCCCAGAGCCAGTCGGACGATCCCTGGGGATATTTATGCTGATCCCAGAGCCAGTCGGACGATCCCTGGGGATATTTATGCTGATCCCAGAGCCAGTCGGACGATCCCTGGGGATATATATGCTGATCCCAGAGCAAGTCGGACGATCCCTGGGGATATTTATGCTGGTCCCAGAGCCAGTCGGACGATCCCTGGGGATATATATGCTGATCCCAGAGCCAGTCGAACGATCCCTGAGATATATATGCTGATCCCAGAGTCAGTCGGACGATCCCTGGGGATATTTATGCTGGTCCCAGAGCCAGTCGGACGATCCCTGGGGATATTTATGCTGGTCCCAGAGCCAGTCGGACGATCCCTGGGGATATATATGCTGATCCCAGAGCCAGTCGGACGATCCCTGGGGATATATATGCTGATCCCAGAGTCAGTTGGACGATCCCTGGGTATATTTATCCTGGTCCCAGAGCCAGTCGGACGATCCCTGGGGATATATATGCTGATCCCAGAGTCAGTCGGACGATCCCTGGGGATATATATGCTGGTCCCAGAGCCAGTCGGACGATCCCTGGGGATATACTAGCATATGCCGGTCCCAGAGCCAGTCGGACGATCCCTGGGGATATATATGCTGATCCCAGAGTCAGTCGGACGATCCCTGGGGATATATATGCTGGTCCCAGAGCCAGTCGGACGATCCCTGGGGATCCCCAGAGCCAGTCGGACGATCCCTGGGGATATATATGCTGATCCCAGAGTCAGTCGGACGATCCCTGGGGATATATATGCTGATCCCAGAGCCAGTCGGACGATCCCTGGGGATATATATGCTGATCCCAGAGTCAGTCGGACGATCCCTGGGGATATATATGCTGATCCCAGAGCCAGTCGGACGATCCCTGGGGATATATATGCTGTCGGACGATCCCTGGGGATATTTATGCTGATCCCAGAGCCAGTCGGACGATCCCTGGGGATATTTATGCTGATCCCAGAGCCAGTCGGACGATCCCTGGGGATATATATGCTGATCCCAGAGCCAGTCGGACGTTCCCTAGGGATATTTATGCTGATCCCAGAGCCAGTCGGACGATCCCTGGGGATATATATGCTGGTCCCAGAGCCAGTTGGACGATCCCTGGGGATATTTATGCTGGTCCCAGAGCCAGTCGGACGATCCCTGGGGATATATATGCTGATCCCAGAGCCAGTCGGACGATCCCTGGGGATATATATGCTGATCCCAGAGTCAGTCGGACGATCCCTGGGTATATTTATCCTGATCCCAGAGCCAGTCGGACGATCCCTGGGGATATATATGCTGATCCCAGAGCCAGTCGGACGATCCCTGGGGATATTTATGCTGGTCCCAGAGCCAGTCGGACGATCCCTGGGGATATATATGCTGATCCCAGAGCCAGTCGGACGATCCCTGGAGATATATATGCTGATCCCAGAGTCAGTCGGACGATCCCTGGGGGTATATTTATCCTGGTCCCAGAGCCAGTCGGACGATCCCTGGGGATATATATGCTGATCCCAGAGTCAGTCGGACGATCCCTGGGGATATATATGCTGGTCCCAGAGCCAGTCGGACGTTCCCTAGGGATATATATGCTGATCCCAGAGCCAGCTGGACGATCCCTGGGATATATATGCTGATCCCAGAGCCAGCCGGACGATCCCTGGGTATATACTAGCATGTGCTGGTCCCAGAGCCAGTTGGACGTTCCCTGGGGATATATATGCACTGATCCCAGAGCCAGTCGGACGTTCCCTGGGGATATATATGCTGGTCCTGGGAGTTGCTGACCAGACGCTACCATGACTAGGTAATGGCCTTTTAGGTCCATAAACCTTTCCATGCTCTGAGTGTGAAGTAGCTTGTGATGCCCTAGTGCCAAGGCAACCCCTGGATATAGAAGACTATACAAGTGCATACAATGTATGAACTTGACACAATCAAATACAGGAGGAGCCGGGTGGCTGGAGGGTACAGATACAGGTCGTTGGCTTGAAACACTGGAGGATGAAAACTGGGTGCGGGACTGATGTGGCTAATAAAGACAGACCGTGTGACGTCATGTCCGCCTTATTGCGCCTGCGCAGACTGTCAAAGGTGAGATTGTTCGACATAATTGTTGTAACCTGATCCAGACAGAAAATAATAAGTGTAGCCGGTAATTGTGTTGGGAATACGTGTTGAGTAGAATAGTTAAGGGTTGGCTGACCTGGTCTTGTGGCGAATACATATGTGGCCATACGTACTGTCGTCATTACATAAATAGAGATTATTACACTCGCTCTCGCGAATACAACATTTCACACTCGTTTCGTATAAGTCGTATGACACACTCGCTCGAGTGTAATAATTTCTTTATTATCCATTATATTCATGTACATTTGTGCAGTAAATAGAGAATACTACACGAGTGTCCTTCCTATGGTATCCTATGGTATCCGTCTTCACTAATGCCACGTTCAATTGTTTATTGACGTCACAGGCGACGAAATACAGAAACAATAGTTGCTAGGCAAAAGGGTTAACGCTGTTTGTTGTTTGTTTTTTTGCAAAGCATCAACTTCAATGTGGTTGTTAGTCAGTTAGAGGGGGGTCTGACCGAACCCCCACCCCTACCCCTCTTTGGATGCGCCAATGCCAGTCATCCTCCGGCTACGCCGTTTCTGATACAGCACCGACAAGGTCCCGAGACGGAGGTCGGTGCCCCGGGAACTATGTCGGTTGTTGTTGGTGATGGTGGTGGTGGTGGTGGTGGTGGTGTACAAGCAGAAGCAATCCCAGAAAACTTTCCTGACCACCTACTGCTCAGTGTGGGGCGTTTAACAATATACTGCAGTCAAACAAAACCACCCCTGTCGCTTTCCTTCTATCATGTTCGTCGCCCTGGGTCGCCGCTTCACGACACGAGAAGTAGACTCAAGTCGGTAACGCTATTATGTTGTACAATCAACTCGGTATTCAAACTATTTCATGGCTTCCAACTGTTACGACAGAAAGCACATAAACTCTCAATACCCTGCAACACCAAACTTAAGCTGTAGTTTCATGCGTTAGTGCGGTCCTACAATGCATTCCCGGTATGTTTCCAGCCAA